ATTTTTGCATAACATATGCAACGACCAAAAATATTCTGTATGTTGTAATTTTACATTTCTCTTTTTTCAACATGTCCATGCTGAAAGAACTCAAGATGTTTCAGATTTGAGACTATTTAATGTGTCAAGAAAATCAAAGTAAATGTTAGCTAAAGACTGCGATTTTGTTGTCACTCACTGTCTGTCACCTGTGTGCTTGTGTGTGCGCGGGCTGTTCGGTGTGTGTGTGTGTGTGTGTGTGTGTGTGTGTGTGTGTGTGTGTGTGTGTGTGTGGGGGGGGGGGTCCTCCATCAGAACAACCGATCATGTATTGCTTTTTTGAGAGATACATGGAGCAAGGCAAGCCCAAACAAGCAACTACACTTCAGAAACAAGCCCACAAAAACCCCCGCATGCGACTACATTAGTAAGCCACTTTACAGAATAACAAACACAAAGTTGCATATATGAGCTGACTTGGCAATACCAGGAGGGGGAAAAACTAATGTATTGAACTAACCAAAGAATAAGGAAACAATGGAAGGATGGGCCTCAGACTTGAACTGAAGTGTGATTTGAGCTCTTTTAGTTTCTTGGTCCTCTTGGTCTCGGCTTGTGTTGTTGGGTTCTTATTTTGCCTGGGATCTTATGATGGTTGGGTTAAATAGGTTTGTTGAGTATTTTGCTGTTTTGGTTCTTTGCTGTTAGATTGTCTTTTATTGTTCTGGTTAATTTGCATTGTCTATATTCTTGCTGTTGTTTATGTTCTTCTGTGTTTGGTTAATTTTGCTTTGTTCCTGGTTATGCCTTCGCTGAATGTCAAATCACTTTGTAAACCTATGTTTTTAAAAGTGTTATATAAATAAAGTTATTATTATTATTACATAATTTTGCCCTGAAGTCCTAAAACATAAAACAGACAACTGCCAGGTAATAAAATGATAACAAGGATAACAGTGAAATATTCAGGTGCATATATTTGACCCTGTTACAAAAGCTGTGAGCAGGGCTGGAAGCTCTTCGTCTTATGATTTATTACTCTTGTTAGCTGAAACCATCGATCCTGTTGGAAAGCTTTTCTTCTGTCCTCGGCTTTTAGAGCATTAGGTGTCAGGATTAGTTTGTACTGACGTTGGTTCAACTATTGTCCCAAATAAACCTCCTCATCTACTTTCTTTCTTACACTCATGGACACTCAGCTGCCAGACTATTCAAAGGCTTGTGTAACATCTCGTTCCCTTCATTAAAATGTTATTAGAAACACAATTAGATTTACAAGTTTTTTTATTCATTCTAATCAACATTTGCTACACATTTAAAAATGTATTTTTTGTCAAATAAAATGCAAAAGTAAACTACTAGTCCTTTCTTCTACATATATATTACAATGACTATTTCAAAAAAGGTTAATATTTAGAAGTTGCATAAAATAAAAAATAAAAACTTAGGTGGAATGTATTGAACATTTCATATACTTAAGAATTTGTATACTCAGGCCAGACAAATCCCATTCAATTGCGTTTTTGCAGAGGTTGAAATATCTGTCCAACGCAAGAAAACCTTGAAATTCTCTTTTGAAAGTACAAAAGCAAAATGTTGTAGAGTCAGGTAGACAAACAGTTTGTTGCCCTTTGTTGCCTGGTCTTAAGTTGCTTCATTATTCCAGAAAGAAAACGGTTACTATGGCAACTGGCAATTTGTAGGGCCGAGTAGTCAGGTAAAGGGGAGGTCTGATCTGAGTGTGAAATCTAAAAAGGACTTTTTGTTTTTCTGCTCAGCTCCTCCATGGCTCATAAACTGAGAGAGTTTTAATGACTCCACAGACACAGTGAATTTTTCTGAATGAATCCCTGTGTGCAGCTGGAGGACGAAGCATTCAGTGTAGTTGGTCCTGCACGTCATTAATGCACCATGTTTCAGTGTTTTGCAACCTTCTGCACTGTGCTGGACTGGCTCAGACGCATTTTTGCAAAGTTTACCTCTTGACTCTTGAGACCCCTGCTTTGTAGCTAATTGATCTACGAAAACAAACCTGAGTATTGACTGACAATTTCACAATACTTAAAAAAAATTCTGTATATTCCAGTCAGATTGGTTAAAAGTCTATGTTTGCATTCTCGGGTACTTTAGTCGTTTTTTTAAAGATCACATGGAATCAGGATCAGCAAAGCATTAAAATGCAGGGATTGCCCGAGGAACAAAGGAGCTATTTCCACTACCTGAAAAAAACGTGTGATTTGTCTATTTTTCTACACTGTGAGCTTTCAATGGAGGTCATAGAGGATATGTTTGGAAACAACATGATTAATGTGACGTTCATGTTCGTCTTTCTCCAGAGGTACTGTATATCCTTCTGTTGAAATAATATATGAAGACGTTACAGCTTTCTTAACTTTTGCAGATCAACTCATTCTGTAAGATAAAGACTCAACTAGATGTTTAATTCACACTAAAAAGAGTTTCAACTTAAGGAATTTGCAGTTAATTTTCCTACAGACACAAATCTAAACAAACTGCATTTGTTTGTGTTCAAACAAATGTATTAGACACTGTAGATATCATGTCTTTGGGCAGCTGAGGGCCTGTTTTTATAAAGAAAGTTCAACATTTTCAGGACACCTTTCATCTGGCTTCATTAACGCCAACAAATGTGATCGCTCGAAGCTGTCACACAACGCTGGTTATCAACTCCATAAGTCAACCAAGAGGTTCAGCGAGCACGATCAGATAAATGGTGCAACTTTTGAAGCATTTTACCGATCTCTAACCTGGAGAAGTATTCTGTTTGCAGAGCGTCAAATGTAACAAACTGAGAGAAACCCGTCATGTCTGAAAAAAGGTTACCACAGAACAGACGGGTATCACAGCTGCACCTGCAAAGTGCAGAAGGTACAGCTGGTAGAAATAAAGCAGACTGTGTGAATGTGCAACTTAAGGCTTTAAATATCACTGCTCCATCAGTGCCTGGCAGATCTGACTGTAATAACATGTGTTTATAAGGTTCAATTATCTTTTTGCCCACATGTATGATGGAGCAAATGACAGTTTCAGACTTGTTGTTTTAGCTGCAACCTCTTCTGAATCAAACAGATACATGAAGCAGATGAATAATTAACTAAAATAACATGTCACACAGAAGCATGTATTCACTTAGAAAATAAAACTCATCTTGGAAATACTAGATTTTTATTTTTATTTATTAAATCTGCTCGGTTTTTACAAATTAACAAGTAAGTGAACTTGCAAATTCAGAAAAACAGAGCAGATTTATATATTTACACATACAAATGCAATTGGTAGTTTAGTTCCAAAGTGCAGAAAAAACACTATAGGAACAGTTTTGTCCCAGCATCCATTATTGAGCGGAACAAGTCGTAGGGTATCTGTGTTTATCATGTTTTCTTTTTTGTTTTTCTCTTCTTCTTTTCCTCTTTACTGCTCTATGCGGTTGTTGATCTCATTAAAGTTCTTGCAGGCTGGGAAGCTGATCCCATGCTTCTTAATAGTTCATTTATTCATTTACTATCTATGTTAATGTTCTCAGTTACATTTACTGATCAACTTGTCTATCAAATTGCACTTTTACCCATGTACCATGCATTTGCACTTTGTATGTTTGATGTATTGTCTATTTATTAAATATGACTCTCCCTGCAACCAAACATACCTACGGGAACAAATAAAGTAACCTGAACCTGAAAACTCTCCCATATGATCTAATACCGATTCAGACCTCAGACAAATGGGCAACAACACAAAGTCAAAGCTGCTTCAAACAAAAGATGATTAGAAGTACAAAATGGACTGCACTAATGTACATTTATGAAAAAAAACAACTTTATTCCATGTTTAATTTCCATTGGTAGTAAAGCACGTTTCAGATATAAAAGAAACACAGGTATGAAAATAGCATGGGCATCAGAAATGATTTGAAGATGCTGGAGACAAAGCAGAAAAATCCTCATTAACAACCCCACTCACAGGACAACACGCTGCTGAGGAGTACAGTCTCTACACTTGCACTTCCACTGAGTAATGAGATATCTATGTCACACTTGAGCCACAATGAAAACACAAAGCAGGGGAAGTGCACACTTCAGTGTTGTTGGTACAGTAAGTTAGAGAGGAGATAATCAATCAAAATATGATTCACCTCTATATTGAAATACACTGCAGAGAGTAAAAGTTTGACTAAAGAATGAAAACTTATGGTAGAAAAAAAAACAGTTTTTGTACAGAAGCAGACACTTCTCTCACACCTCAGTAGATTACTGCCACAGATGATACAGCAATGTTTGAACTTGCACATAACATCGACCATCTTAAAACACTTCTAGGCTATTTATTATTTCTTTCATGCCCAAAGTTTCCCATCAAATGATACTCCACAGTACAGCAATGACTCCAGTTTAAAACCCCAAAGACAACAATACCCTCAACATGATTCAGAAAATCAGAGAAAAAACGGACATGTCTTTGGCTTATTCATCACAAAAACACTTGTGGCTTAGAATCTATGCCGCGTTTACACTGAGTTTATGAAACTTTAAGTCACCAGAACTGCAAGAATTATCCATTAAAGTAACCAAAGAACAGAAGCCCTGAGGGGCAAGTGTCAAAAACATTTCATACATTCCTTTTATTAAATCTGTAAAATTACAATAAAAAGTGTCCTGGGGGGATTTTTTTTAAATCTCAGAAATCATGAAGGAAAAATTTAGCAAATAATAAAAAAATTTTTTTTTAAATTATTTTCGTATTTCGTCATAAACTTCATTAGTAACAAGTGTGGAAGAAAACAAGGAAAAGTTTTATCATCATAATTTAGATCATGTGGTTGATCCCCCACCCTGTTTAAAACAGATTAAAACTTTTGGAAATAATAAAAAATGTTCCCCTCTTGGCAAAACTTTTTTTCTTTCTTCTTTCTTCTTCCTGTTGTTTTCCTTTTTCTTTTCTCACATAGAAAAAAAGGAACATAGAATGTTCTTTTTTTTTTTTTTTTTAGAAGTGTCCTTCACAGTCTGTTTTATTGAAATTGTTGATAAAAATAATTTTCTATCAGACTTTCATAACAGAGCAACAAATGTGTTTTTGTCACAGAACTCTCAAGCCTTTAATACCAAATGTCTAAATCACAAAAACTGCTTTGTTGGTAGGGATTTATAGCACATCAGCGACCGACAGATAAGTTTCATGTCTAAATGTCGGTCTCCCACATGCCCATCTGCATAATCCTGCTGATCCTCAGCACAGATGAGTGGATGCCCAGAGCTCATTCACTGTTTCAGTCAGGAGCAACACACATGTCCGTACTGGTCTGAGATCAAATCCCAGCCGAATCCCTCCCTGTGTTTACCTGCTTTGCTCTCCCAGAGCCTGGAAGGTAACATTGAGAAATGTGAACTGTCCAGTTCAAAAAAGATGATGAAAGAAATATCAGGGAGGGCAGAATAGGGGTTTTGTCATCTTCAGATGAGAACGGCGAAGGCTCCAAACAGTAAATCTTTTAAGTCAGTTTAAACACATTGAATTCATTTTGTCTGGATCTAAAACCTGGCAACAGAAAAAGCTTCATCATGAGATGAGTACTTGTTTTTTGTAAACTCATAGGTCAAAGGTAACACCTGCACAACGACTCCAATCTACAGATAAATGTCAAAAGATCTAACAGAAAATTAAAGAATAGGGACCTAGACTGACCATGCTCTGTAGCATCTTGGTCGCATGGTAGTTGTTGATATGTTCATGAAAACAGAATAGATTTGTGTATGGAAACAAATTTCCCTCTTTATATGATATTGCCCAGAATTTTAAACTCAAGCATTTCAATACAACGGTTGACCATTTTCCTCTGAGGGTTCTTCTGATCTCAAACCTCGCTAACTTTCAGGGTTTACATAAGATCCCTTGACTTCCATAAACGGATAAAATATGCTTAGCAAAAATACAGAAATTTTGGCTGACTGAAAGGGGAATAAAAGGGAAATTTATGTCCATGAACATTGATAAATGTGATGACTCTTTCAGGATCTGTTGTAAGACTGAGCTGCATATTCAACTCTTGATATTGTTACTTACAATAAGTAAGTGAGTACTTTTTTATGCATGCTGCTGCTGTGCTAGTGTTTTCCATACTATTTTTAACACTGAGTCAGACCAGAATGAGTAAGTCAAAGGTCCTATGATTTTAACAATCAAGGCGCTGTTGAAAGTTCATACTTGCACAATACAAACATACAAATGGGTTCATATAAACCAGCCTGTCTCACGCCTCTCCTATCTGTTCGTTGTCTAATGTTGGCTTATTGAGTTGCTTTCCATCCTTTCATGGAAATGTACAAGTTATTGTAAAGTTTAGCACCAATCAAATTACCTTATTGCATCACCCTCCATTTGTTAGTGGAAGGGCCTCAGTACAAAGAAAAATCTGTGGTCCACAGAGTAATGAACAATCATTAATCACCTCTAAACACAGACTAATGTGATATCGAACAGAAGTTTTGCATTCACATTGTGGCCAAAAAAACATAGGCTGTGTCCGAAACCCCAAATTAACATACTGCCTACTACATACTCAAACAGTATACTGCCTGCTATCTCGATCCTTAATATATGGTTTGCAGCATGCTTAAGTACGGGTCATGTGACGTCCCTCCGGTTAAAGCTATGTTTGATAAGCTAGCATCAAGAATAAATAGAATCTAACAAAAAAATAGATCCATTCATTATGAATTCAGTTACGTAGTAATTTTAATATTATTTGACAACATATAAAACATTACATTACAGTTATTTATTTGTTTCACACTAGCAGGCTTGCTGGTGAGCTCCGACGTCTGAGAGCTGCAATGTATTTGGGGGCAGTTTACTATGATCAGTGTGCTACTGTAAAATAATAAAAAAAAAACTATTATAGGCTGCTGTCCATGCAGGCATGTCTTCTTTACACAAAATTGCATTCAAAGATTTCGGATCGTGCCACATACTCAATTTGACATCTCATCGAGTATGAAATGCGGTTTTGGACACAGCCTTTGTTTTCAATTTTGTTAAAATGATGATCAATTTAGTGATTATTGAAGCTTTGAAGCAAACTAATCTTTATAAATTAGATCAGTTTGTAAATTATATAAACATAGTCAAGCTGAGTAAGTGTTTCATTCAAGCATTTCTCTGATCCCACATTTACTAGCAACTGAAAGATTCCGCTAACATTAGCATTTAACCTCTTTCAGGCTAACATTTCAGTTAGCAAGGCATTTAAGCCTTTCCTTCCATATCAATGTAAACCTATTTACTGGTGTTGTTAGCCACAAAATGGTGTTACTTCCTTTATTAACATATAGTTTTGAAATTTCCAACACTTGTTTAAGCTAGGAGGAGTTGCTATATCATTGTCTTTTGTAAAATAATGTAGCATTAGTGTAAGCTAGAAAGTATGACATTTAGGATGGCAGTAGCTCAGTCTGTAGGGACTTGGGTTTGGAATTGGATGGCCGCCAGTTCAGGTCCCGGCACGGACCAAATCAGTAAATTGGCCTGATAGCTGGAGAGGTGTCAGTCCACTTCCTATTATTATTATTTTAGCAAAGTAGACTTCCTTTCTTACAGGACCATCAAACAGTATTTGGTGCTAGGAATAGGTGCAATAGCTGGATTTTTACTCCTTTCTAACTGTGTCATGTTTTTTGTTAGTAGGCCTATTTTAGGCCTAAGGATGAAAATTAGCTATTGTGCTAATTCTAGCATATTTACAGAGGTGCATATTGCCAATATGTTGATTAATGTGCATGAATTATACCATTCTTGTCCTATATTTAAAACTATAAAAAACTGTATTGTTAGCTTGAAATAGGTGCTACTGTGAGGTAAACATGTCTACATCATGTCATACCATCAAAAAGGAGGCTAAAGTTAGCATTGAAATAATGTATGATGATTGAAATTCCTGACTTTTTCATGTTATTGTAAAACTAGCAAATTGTATTGTTCCAAGAAGCAAGAATTTAAACCCATCCAATTTATTTAAACTAGAAAGTGCTATTACCTTTAGCTAGGTGTGTACACTTTTCTTACTTAGTAAAGCATCAAATGGTTTTATTTAAAGAATAATGTGCAAATGTAAGTTAGAATTTAACAGCTATCTAATTGATCAGTTTCGTTTGTTAGTGTCTTTTGACATTATTAAACAGCAATGTTATCTATTTGTTTTTTAAGCTTTAAGCATCTTTTTGCATTTTGTGGGCTAAATGAACTGCCTGCTAGGAACTGTTAGCTAGGATTTTTTGTCAATCTTATAATGCTATTAAACAGTGGGCCAATTTATACAGTAATTAGATGCCACTGTGAGATGGAATTTTGCACCTATCCAATTTAATCACGTGAAGATATCATTTTCATTTGTGCGTGTCTTGTGACATTATCAAAAAGCAATGTTAGCAAACAAAAACGGCAAGAAACAACGGTTAGAGTTTTAAGTGTCTTATTGCATTATATTATTAAACTAAGCTGCCTGACAGGAATCTTATAATGCTATCAAACTGGATGGAATTTTGCACCTATCCAATTTAATCATCATTACATTTTCTTATCTTTCTTTTTTTTAGCGAGGAAGTGCTAATTCCATTTAGCTATGCCTTTATATCAGATTTTAACCATCAACTCCCCTTTCAGTTATCAATCCATTTTCATACAGCATCTTGTTTGTCTGTATAGGCACAGTTGGGGCACTTCATATCAGTGCTAGCTGTACTGTTCTCCTGCTAATAAACATTCACTTTCATATCTATTGCATTCATATAGCCACAATGTAAATGCAGCATCATTACCAGCAATTGTCAAATACTCCACAAGTCAAAAGCAACATTCAAAACACATTTTGTCCACCACACCATTACACCATTACTGTATGTGAAGTATCAAAACATCAAGTGTAACCAATTTACTGTGGGGCTGTTCTCAGAAAACAAAATGTACTGGGCACATATGTGAAATATTTGGTACATACAGTACAAAACAAAAGTAATAGAAACAAAACTTGAAAAAGGGATATAAAAAGTTCTTCTCACTGCCCCGGGCAAAGAAGTAGCCTTCATTGAGGTGATGTTTTCACCATGCTGAGGTTATAATCAGAGGTAAATATGTGTTCATCTCAGCCCTAGGCTGGCTACACTAAGGCAATTCAACGGTTGCTAATGCCAAATCCAAACAAAGGGAAATCAAATTAAAATAAACAGTAAATATTTAAACTATAAGTCTATCGTGGTTAATTTACAACTTCCTCAGGATCATGTTAATTTGTCAGTTGCCTTTAAACTAGAACCAACCGAGACAAAGACTAACGAGTGTGATTATCACATTTGTGCCTGCGGAGAAGTGCTAATGCCAGCCATTATATTTCATTTGTGCACTTTGTTCACAGAGGAAGAAAATCAAACACCCAGTTCTTGCCTTTTCACTTCAGCTAGTTTGTGTTCAGAGCTCTGGCAAGAAGTGGCTGCACTGCAACGACAGTACATCAAATCGAAATGAAATCGAACTACACCCATGGTTGCCTTTGTTCCCCGGGTGCTTCATCACACAGAGTCCATATATGACAATGTAGTTTGTAGAGAAAAGGAACTGCTGTGTTTTTCTCCCTGTCCTTAATTACATTAAGCCATAGTTTTATGTTTTTCACAACTCGTGAATCATTCCTAGAAATTCAGGCTAAAACACTTTTAATGTAATAACAGATCTTAACAATTTGTGGAATCAGGAGAAGTGTCAGCATGCTTCAGGTTTTATGCTCAGCCGGGCAAACTGGCAGGTAACCAAAGGCTAGTATTACATGAGCGTGGTATCATTCTTCTTATCCGACTGTGAGAAAGGAAGTAAAGTAAACGTTTATAAGAAATAATCTGAAAACAATTCCTAAAAGAATATGTCACAGTTGGTGCCCTGTGCAGGATTGACCCCACAGCATTTAATAAAGGGACTTTTACATTAAAGTGTTGTTTTGTGTCTGATGAGAGATCTGTGCCTGAATGTCAACATGTGTCTGTATGAACACAAGCATAACTAAACCTAAAACAATTAAGACAATAAAGCACATATAAATTCTGCTGTAAGGTTAATTCACACCAACTCCTCTTCCCTGGAAACCACTTTACGTATTACAGTGTAGGCTCCAGGGGCTGCTTATAGTGTAGCATGCAGGAGGAATGAGTCATGACTAATGGCTGAAAGTAAGTGAGAAGAGATAAAACCCGAATGATTTTTCATGAAGTTGTTACAACAAATGGCTGTTTTATAAATGTACCTCAAAGCGCCGAATGAGAACAGCCATAATCAGTCAAAGCCAGGCTCTTCTTTTTTCTCATATAAATCATTATTCCCTGATTATTGTAGCAGATACTATCTACCCCTCCAGAGGAAGGCACTATGAATGGTTTGAATGTCCTTGGATTTTCATCAACTGGATTTGACTGATGGCTGGATAATAACGTGCCGGTACTCTCCCTACAACATAAGTCATCCTCCTGATTGAGAAGTTTTCAGGGAGCAGTGCGAAGCACATTTCCCTCTTTGTCTTCAGATCGTCATTAGCACACAGTCCATCCTCCTCTGTGTACAGCATGTTAAAGGGAGTCAGTATTGTGTTGTATTCTCATACCTGAAGTCACAAAGGCAGAAATCTCTTCTTGGCACAGGCTTGTCCTGTCCGTTTGTCTCCAGGCTACTGCTTCAGGTACCACAGGAAAGAGTTTATTTGGTGTTACCTCTTTATTCATCTTGCAATTCTTTAGTTGAACTGATCCTGCAGAGTGCTAAAGGTAGAGATAACCCACCCAATATACAATGTTGAACAGTAAGAAGGAGGTGGGAAAAAAGACACGTGAGTATGCGTCCAGTTCGAGTAAATCTATGTGGAGACGTCCTTTCCTCCACCTTCCGCCTTTACACTCCTCGAAGCAGCAGAAGAAGCTCTGGCAGTCTTTTCCGTCCAAACACTCGTAGACACAAGCGTCCTCAAAGTCCTGCCAGTACAGGGAGTTGTTTAAAGTGATGGTGGTGTGTTGGGGTCTCACATCCAGGACTGAATAGTTCTGTGAAGAAGAGAAAAGTGATTATTCAGCTCAAGTCTTGTTCAGTCATCAAATAAGGTTCTTTCCTACAGATAAACTACTTTTATAGGTGAAATTCTGAATGTTTTAGTCTTTTCTATCTCACAACACATCCACTTTATCAGATGTGTGAGTGGCTCAATGTTTCAAAACAAGAAGCTGGGTACCAGTCGTGTGCAATTTGTAGATGCTGTCATCTAGCTTAAGCCTAAAAGATTTTTGAAATCTGAACAGGTGTTGAAAATGTGACACTCCACACATGAGGAAAAAATAATGATTGATTTAACAGTTTTGGTCCTGAGGAGCTGAGGAGAGCAACGATATGACCCAAACAGCACACCATTCACAAACAGACTCCATTCACCATCAACCAGCGTCCAGAGTCAGGACTCTTAAACCTGGAACTCTCACACACTCTCTCGCAGTCGGACAACAAGTATGGCAGACAGCTGGCAGAAAGAATTGGCAATATTTTTTACGGAAAATTCACAAAGAAAAAATAAATAAACTATGGGTGAAGCTGACAGCATAAATAGGCTGTAAATGGGGCGCGAGGTGAAGGAGGGAAAGAATTGATTTGTTGCGGTTGTTGTGCTTCCTTTGGGAATGGTTTCGTCTCAGATGACAATCCACAGGGTGTGTGTGTAGCTGTTCTCGGGGGTTCCCCACACACAACAGGAGATCATTAATATTAAACATGTTTGATCTTAACCATTTTAATAAGTGCAGCCACATTGTTGCTCTGAGCAGAAGCCTCACACCCCGTGCCTTTAAAGTCTTATGTGTCAGTACAAAGACAGATAAAAACCCTCTTGGGTAGAATTTTTGAGCAAAGAATGGGCCAAACAAACCCTGCGCTTTCTTTTCAATAAGATGCGTAACACATGTTGCTCTGAAGGCTCAGATAAAAAAAACAGGTAAAAAGATGTTAAGATATGTACCATTGCTTGGCACATCTGTGCACACAGATTTGCAAACTGTGGGTACCATTTCTAGAAATCTATAGATTTTTTTTCACCTGAGCCATCGATGCACCATAAAAGATTAACATAGCATATTTATTTAAGCAGACTGCAGAGCCTGCACATGCAAACTGATGCCAGAGGGGTTCCTATACCTTTCCATGTAAAATCCTTCTGTAATGCCCTGGTTAATGTTATATTTCACCAAATGTCCAACTTGGTTCACACTTTATTTTCTTTGTATAAACTTGTATATGTGTATATTTCTTTGGGGGGAGTTTTATTTTGTTGTATTTTTGTTATGTGACCTTTGACATTTTGGTGATTTAACTTCCTGTGTTTTTGCTCTATTCTCTTCAGACGGCTTCAGGCTCAATGAGGAGATGTGTGCATGTAGAAACCAAACAACTGAAGTTGTACTGATTCAAATATTCTGTACACAGAATATATTCCCCTGGAAAGGCAGAAGCTGTCCTTGTCTTATTATTACCGCACGCAATCAAAACGCAGAGGTTAAAAATGGTGTCGTGTGAAGCAAAAACAGCTACACTTTGACCATTGACCAAACTTATATGACAAAGATGGGAGTCTTCAGAGCAGTAACCAGGCATGTTGGAGTTAATCTATTAAACCAAAGCTTTGTCACAGCACATGATTTCCACTGGATTTCATCAATGTCAGTGTGACAAAACTCCGACTTGTAATGAAAGTCAGTGGTTTCATTATATCAACCTGAAGAGTTATGGTGGGTGATTTAATTTTTTTACAATTAACAGATGTCCTTTTTTTGGACATTTAATAAATATTGAATTGTGACGAACTATTTATGTGATATTAATTTCCAGTTTCTCCTGAACCCCTTGAGTTGTTGGGGAAATATTGTCATTTTCTTACAAGAAAATGATGTCTTTGATTATTGTTCTGTTTTATTCGAGCCAAATTTTAACCTATGCTATGCTTTAATGGGCATACTGGTTTACCATGGCTGGGAAATTATTATTTAGTAATGAATTGTTGAAATGAGACAAAGATATCCGCACTATTTATGTGAAATTTCAGTATTTTATATCTGTTGTATTTAAGTGTAAACTGGGGTAACAGAATAATACCATAGTGACACTGCAGAGTTATTCATGCTTAATAAATACAGGCATCCTTCAAATCCATGTCTCCACTTCGTAAGGCAGACTTTTATTAAAATTCTAAATCTAAATGTTGGGATAACCTCAGACTCAAAGAAGCTCCTTTGTGGTCACAGAAGTAAAAGCACAGATCTTTTCACAGTGTACTCCTCTTCATTAATAATAATCTCATTTTCATGTGTAAAGGCAGTAAAATGTTTTTTATTCTTTAGTTTTCTTTTGGAGAGTTTAGTGAAGACACTCTCGAGTCATTAGATTGAATATGAAAAGCTCTGCCAGGAATAAAGGGAAACGAAAAACAGGACACAAAAATAGATTTTAGAATCTTTACTTTGAACAAAATTTCAATATTTTAATCATTTATTTTGGTTTTTATTTTGTGTTAATCTAACATAAATCAAGATAATTTAGTATCTCTTTGAATTCTGCCTTTATTTGATTAAAAAGAGGATAGATTGACAGGCTGGCTAAGACACTGTTGAAGTGGGGGCTCAACGGTGTCCTGTGTGCTGACATCTTGCTGCCATAGCCTGTAGATATTAATGAATGAAGCCTGAGTGACGTCACCCATCTGTTACTGCAGGGGGCTCCGCAGGTTCATCGGCAGCAGCCGCCATGTTGGAAAAGCTGTCTCACCTTAACTCTTAGTTAAACTAGCGACAGGCTGAGAGCTGGAGGTGAGGCAGGTTTTAAGCCTCTAAACAAACTTTCACAACACGCCCGTCCATCAGGTCAGCTAAGCACCTAACTCTGAATAACACGTATTGTTCACAAAATCAAAATGGGTGAGTTATACAAAACATCACCCAGTACAGTGAGTGCCCATAATGAAAATAACTAATCAGAGCATTATTGTTTTTGTACCAGGCTGTAAACACGTTAATTTATGCTGTAAAAAATGACTTATTTGACTGGGCTGTGTATTTGACTACCGGTCATCGGTCCGATGTTTGGGTTTGGGGTCTGATGGGAGCCAATTAGTAGGGTAGTATCGGCGTTGTCACTGTTGGCTGGCTTGCATGGATCTATTGGGGTTGCTATGACAAATAGGGGCCAAATGGTAGTTTTATGATACTTATCAGTGGGGCATGGGGGGGTGGTTGGGATGCGGGGTTTCGGATGCGGCTTGTTCTCTGTTTGGGAACAGGTATCTTGTGTTTATTTCAAATTCTTGTTCATTTTCCGTTTTAACATGTTTTACATGTCAAACGCTTCTGAATGTATACATATTATGTAGTTTGATAAAAGACAGGTGTATTTTCTAAGGCAACAATCTCACATTTCATCAACAGAGGCACACTTTAATCTTTAGAGCATTAATGTTAGGGCAGTTTTATTATTAAGGGATAAAGCTTGACTTTATTGTACAGTGGCAGTCTGAAACCCCTGCCTCTATTGTTGATGGTCTAGAAAAGACCTGTCTTTGGGAAGCTTGTTCAGGCAGATGCAGTGTCTCTTAAAATAGAACCGGTCTTATCAGAAGAACTTCTAAAAGACAGACTCGCATCACCAAGCCTGGGAGGTTTTCTAATCATCTTCTAATCACAAAACTAAAGCTCTAAAACACTAAAAGTTATACTTTATCGGCATAAACTTGAACTGGTTTTACAAATAAATCACTGATAAGTTTGTTATCAATATTGCTGCAATAATACCTAATATTTGCATTGAAACAAAGTACATGTATTCCAAGGCATACTCACCGATCTTTTCGGGTGCATGCAGCTGGGTCTTCGAGTGCTGTATGAGTAGTAATTTAATGTTGCGTACTCCATCAGAGCAGCGAAGACAAACAGGAAGCAGACGGTGACAAAAAGGTCCATGGCGGTGACATAAGACACTCTGGGCAGAGAAGTCCGGGCCACGCTGCTGAGGGTGGTCATGGTCAGCACTGTGGTGATACCTGAAAGGTAGAAGAAAGGACAAACTTAAAGGGGACATATTGTGAAGAATCCACTTTTACAGTGTTTTTGAACATATATTTGGGTAACCTGAGTGTCTACTGACCCACATAATGTGAAATAAATCCATCCAGTCCTTTGTTTGTGGTCTGCATGAGTCTTACAACACAGAGAAAAATGCTCTGTTTCAAATTTGCTCTCCTTGTGATGTCACAAGTTGGATTCTGGTAAAAAAAATAACCTCCCATCCCCGGTATCTCCACCCCCAGCCCAGAAAAAAACTTTTGCGCAGGTCTGCCATTTTTAATCTCACTACAGAGTGATGTCTAACGGGAAAACTCAGAGGGGGTCATTACATTTAAAGAGACACACACACCAAAACGGAGCGTTCTGAGAGAGCTGGTTTATACAGGGTCACAAACCTCCTCTGGTGCTTGATTCATGTTATATTTTGACCAAAGCACAGCACAGATGTTTCAGTTAGACCACAGGGGACTGTTTGAAAAGGGGGAGAAGGGGGAGAATATGTCCTCTTTAATTCTTGATCTGCTCATGTTTCAGTGTGATACCATGTGTTATTTCACAGAGATTAGAGCTGTTGTCATCACCTTATCTTGGTGCTTTGTCATATTTGAAATACATTTTTGTTACGGTTTATGGATTGATGGCAGTTAACACTTTTTTTTTTCTGCCATTAGACTGTTCAGCAACAATTAGGCACGAGATGCAGCACTGTAACAAACACTGCATTAGGAAATTGCTTTTCACTGAATTGATGACTGTTTACCTCTAATAGGTTTCTCAATGATAAAAGTCTTAACAACCTTTTATGCACATAATATTTTTTCATTTGATTGTTTGATTTACTTCATATTTTATATGTGCGCAATAAAAACAGTATAAAATGTCCAAACCCTACAGTAAAAAAAATCCTTAAGCCAGAGAGTTCGACACAGACTTCAAAGTTATTCTGTGAGACTTTCACATACAAAAACATGAGCTGTGCTTCCTCAAAGTCCATTCTGGTAAAAACTGCCAAACTTCACCATCCCTTTTATTATTATAGTTTAAAATGAAATGACCATGGACGAGAAAGGGGAAAACCGAAGAAGGAATTTTCAAAAAAGACAGTTCTACCTCTCTGAACATTTCTACTTCAGACTTCTGCAGCTTTTTTTTTTCTTTGAACAAAACTTGAGAGGGAATTTTTGCATGAACAATGAGGAAGCCTGACTACACCTGTGAGTGTTATACTTTGAGTTAATATATTTTCTTCTTTCTCTGCATGCTGCATTATTTTAAAAGTTTTTTGCATCTCCAAAGAGACTGTAAACTTGATCATCCTGAGTCAACACAGCACTGAAATATTTTCTACTTATACTGACAGGGATGGAACTGGTTACCTTACAGCTGCTAATAAACACACAGGGCACTGTTGAACATTATAATTCATTTCAAGTCTCTGGACATCTGACAAGTGTACATAAAGTATCATATCCCTTCAGCTATAATATCAGGGCTTTGTTATCAAGGAAAACTCCATCTCCTATAAGCTCTGACTTTGGTCTCCGTCAGCTCCAGCTGAGGGACATCTGTGGCTCTTAAGCTGCAAGTGTCTGATATAATTATTTCCTCTTTTATGCACAGTTGGTGCACTGGAAATGTTTTCAGCGTGTTATGTGGCTCAACAGTGTGGCTCAGAAGGAAACATCCCGTTAATTTTCCTCCATAGTGGAACTGATTGTTAGCCATAATGTCATAACCGTTGAAGGTGGAATGACCACGAGCTACCTGTGTGTGTAATGATGGTATATGCACCCTTAGAAGACACAAGTTCAACACTTGATTTATTATCATAATCTCGGGGGAAAATATCTACACTACCAGCGATCATTAAGTGTCACAGCAATGTCCCTGATTGGTGGAGCTCGCTGTTAGCATGGAAAGCTAGTTAGACACAGAATGTACTACTGACGTTGTCATGCACCAGTGAATGTAATGTATATATTCACACAACACAAACTAAAAGACATTACAACACTTACAACAATACCATTACAACACATTACAACAATAACAAAGACCAAAGTTACATTTAAGAAGAAGCTGTATCATTCACAATGGATTGTGGGATGGGTAATTCCTTGATTCTGGACAAAATTTTGTGAACAGTCTTGTACCTTTGCCAATGCCGTTTTTGCGCCATATCAAATGTATTATAGTCACCATTATTGACGTAGCTGGTTGTCTTGGTTCCAGGCTTCAATCTCTTGATATAAGGATTTTGTGATAGGATAATAGAGGAGTTGAATGAGGAAATTTACTTCTAGAAACAGAACTGCTGAAAGGGTGGGTGGTCACTGTTGAGCTTTATTCACTTAACCTAGAAACAGCTATTGCATTTGAGATAATGATGGAGGAACAAGACCGGACTAGAAATATATAATATATATAATAGCTGCGGCCCGCAAAACTAAATACCGAGCTGAAAGGTGAAAAAACTTTCTGTACAGGTTAGATGATGGTGCGGTGACATTTCTGTGGGTTCAACGGAGTCATTAAGTCAACAATTTTAATGACTTGTTTTAGCCAAATGTCATATTTATTTTTAAGCTCTGAATATTACAAAAAATTGCAGCGTTAAAAATGAATTTGAAGCCCTTCAAGCAGTATTAGGTATAGTGCTTAATTCATGAATGGGCCTTGCCTTGCCTTCATTGTAGAAAGGTAGGCTGGCTGATGAAAATCTCTCTAATAGCAGGTTTCACTTACATAGTGAGTGGGTGCCATTTCCTTGATTTACTGCAGGAAGTTGCACCTTCCTTTTATCCAGCTGTTTTATTTAAAGTTAAACAACCTTTAGACACCCTTAGCTGCTGAGTTAGGAGCTGACATTTTCATTTTTACTGAAGAGTAGACGTTGATGACGTCACTGAGATTGAGAGACGTGAGGAAAGCCTCTTTATCTCAAGTATGATCTCATTCTCTCTGCTCTCCTCCTGCTCGAACATTAAAGAGATGCCCACAAGACGAAAAAACACACACATCTGTGACTGTTTCGCCGAGGTTCCCATGGTAACAAGCTGGCCTTGTCTATTTCAGGCAGACATCTCACACGTTTCCTTTAGCCCCTGCTTGCCACAGTGATAGCACTTAACTGCCTCGTGCTGATGCTGTGGCACAGATTTTCAGAGTTTAGGCTGTGAACGATAGAAAAGCAGCAGGTTTGAAGAGAAGAAAAACTCTGAACAGCGTGTGTGAGAACTTACTGAGCTAAACTAGTCCTGTAACTACCAGTTATTAAGACTGAAATCTGAGCTGGAAAGCATGACTCACAGCCGTCCTTTTCTACACCTGAAGGGCTTTATCTTTCCTCCCACACAGCTCCTGTGCTCCCACAATCAGCCTTCATCTGACATCCGTTCATTACCCCCAATCCATACCTGTTTTATCTGAAGCTGATTCAGATCCTTTGCAGCAAATTTTTCAGAATAAAATCACACATTGTTATAAGAAAACTACGTCTGATTCACAACGCTGTAGCCAGATAATAAACCTAAAAAGAAAGAAAAGAACGTACCGTAACTGCTGTATCAACATGATCTGTGTAACAGCAGAATTTAAAAGTTATTTTACTTTACCTTGTTCCTCATGAAATACTCTTTCAGTTTATTTTGTGTGGAACTGTTTTGTTTTTGAATGTCTTTGTATCCCATGAGAAAAAAAAAGTATAATATAATTTTATATCATAATGTATAATGTATCAGGTCAAGTCTAAGTTCATCAAACTTAACTGTATTATATCGTATCATACTGTGTTGAATAGACTGGACTTGTTTGTCAAATCTAATAAAATGGTACTGCAACTTATATTCTATCAGTTAGAATAGACCTGTATGAAGCAAAGGTAGAATGTATCGTCTCATATTGTTTTATATTGTGTCAGTTGTCATCATATCAAATTAAATGGTATTGTATTGTATCATGTTTAAACGAGAATAACAGACTTGTAGGGTAATATAATTTTGTATTGTTATGTATTGTATCATATAGTGATGTATCTTATTGAATCCAAGCGGCAACCTCCGGTGTTGAAAAATGAAGCTAATGTGGAAATGCAAAATCATTTGTCCAGTGTTGACTTGAGGCTAGCTCCAGGAACACCAGAAGTCACATACACATGACTGGCAAAAAAACAGTTTTTACAGTATAGATTAACGTGTTTACAGTCTGGTACAAAAAACAAAAGAGGTCTGATTAGTTATTGTCATCACGGGCACACACTGTGCGGGGGGTGAATTTTTTTTAAACAGCTCTGTTTTGATTTTTGAACGTTACATGCTTTTCATAGTGAGGCCTGTATCTGACATGATTGACAGATTGGCACGATAAAACAGTTCGTCAAGACTCGAGGCTCCAGCTCTCAGCCTGTCGTTAGGTTGACTGAAGGCTGAGACAGGATTTCCATCATGGCTGACGTGACTCAGGTGTCAGCCATTAATATTTATAGTCTATGATCAAATCGAACACTATCGTTATGTATCGTATCATACCATATTGTATCAAGCAGAATATAATTTTTTAGTAGGGTTTTGTATCATTTCATATTGTACAATTTCTGTTTCAAGCCAGTTTAAATTAAACCAAATCCAATCATACTGTGTGGATTAATATCATATTGTGAAGTAAAGGTCAGAGTGCAATCTGTTTTTTAGCACCTAAACTCTGCAACTCACTTCCTCTAGCAATCAGGAAAACAAAAACTGTATCATTATAATTTAGAATAATTAATTAGTCTGAGATTACTTTTCTTTCATTTACCATATGTTTTTCCCGGTCGTGTTTATATTCCATGTTTTATTTTGTATGGATTTACCTGAGTGATTTCTAAATTGTTATGGTGTTATTGAAAATATATATATTTTTGATAAGATTTGTTTATGTCTTTGTACATTTTGTGTACCATTTCTATGTTGATTTATTTTAGTCTGAGAAGAATAGGTTGCACAGTGAGTCGCTCAAAAGGTGCTACCAGAAAGTCGAGTTGTGTCATTCTGTAGATTTGGCTCTTTCATGGGTTGATGGTGCTCAATTTCAAACAGAGTGCAAAAACTAAAAAAAAAAGCTATCATTTCTAACAAAAATTGGCAACAAAAAGATAATAAAGTTATTTGGACTTGCTCTGTTCACATTTACACGCTTGATGTTTTTTTGTCATGTTCAAAATTTGAAATTGCTTTCATTCCCAGGAATTTTTTCCTTACCTTACCTCCATGCAAAGACAACCTGTGTGGTGTGTATTACGGATACAATTTAAAATAGAAACTGTAAAATAAAAATGTATGAAATTCATTACCTTGATGCAAATGTTCCACAGGACTGCACGACAACAAACAGAGATCATGAACAAAAGAGTTAAGCAGTTGAAACAAAATAGAAAAAAGCAAATGAAGTGACCCAGTTTATCAAACAAACAGTAAAGACAGCTGCACATAAAGATGGAGCAAAACATAATAAGAGTGTGCAAATGAAATGCTCAATAGCATGACCTTGAGATGGTGCATGTATCAAACATGTTTCAAAGTACCTAAAGCCGTTCTGGCTGGCGTGGCGTCTTTTTTGATCCAGAAGGAAACCCAGGAGAGGACCACGGTGAGGATGCAGGGGATGTACGTCTGGATGGTGAAGTAACCCATTCTCCTGCTCAGGTCAAAGTACACCGTCATCACCACATAGTCACCTGAGTGTGCAAACAAACACAACTGAGCACATACTGCACATGTCATAAATCCCTGTAAGCATGGGTACAATGATGAGGCTCAAGATTACAAAAAAAACTCTAAAAGCAACATTTGTACCTCCATAGTAAGCATTTACACACAGTTAAAATAAAAAACACAAAATTAGTGATAAAGTAAACTTATGTACATTTAAGTGATCATCATCCAGGTGAGGCAGGTTTATACACAACACATCTCACAGCAGAGAAACCTAATGTGTGAACAAACGCAGTATATCATTACACTTTTATTTGACATATTTTTAAGTTGTGTTGTTGCAAAGAAGTGCCTTACCAAAATAAATTATAAATTTCAGAATATCTTCTGAAATGTTGGTAGAAAAAAATGGATGAAAATTGAAGTGAACATCCAGCATATGCAGCACAGTAGTATTATGATAAAAAGATAATCACGAATGATACATTTAGGTGTTTAATGTCTTTTTTCAACAGCTAGTCCTGTAACTCCTCATATGATGCAGCTGAGACGATTAGACTGAAATGACAAACCTTAATTGTTATATTCAAATGTTATAAAATGTGTGGTGATTTATGTATGCATTCAAAAAGAGACATTACAACTGATTAATCGTTATGTGATCGTAATGTTATTAAATAAGAAGACACTTTACTTTTACACTTTAGTTTTCATTCTCTATGACAAGGACCTTACAGGAACTACACATGTCTAAAAGACTTTTAAAATCCTTTAAAATCTGTGTTTTAATAACATCATACAGCGTTCACTTATCAATTATCTATAATCTAAATGAATAACAACTATGTGACAATTTCATATATTCAGTTTCTGCTCACGTCATTCCCGATGTGTTCCTACATCAGGTATGTATATTCACCGGCTACATGTGAAATAAGCAGGAACACATTCATTTGTGACTTAGTGTTGTTATATCTTCTACAGTACAACACTGTAGGTGTTTAGTACCTGCAGGTGTGGAAAAGGAGCGTGTGGGTGTGCAGGTTATTATTCAGGAGAAATTATAAATGCAAATGACGAAACACATTTCTATAAAAAGAAGAGCTGAGTCAGCTTTATGCAGAATGGTACATCTTCACCCTGACTTTCTCAGAAGTGATATCAGTTAATCAGACCGGTAGGAACATTTAATGCAGTCTGATATGAATGATGGTAGTCCTGAAGGGGATACACATAGAATCAAGATGTGGTTTCTTTTCCACAATTTATAATCCTTATGATTTTCATGAGATCAAACCACACTTACATGACCTTTGTTTATTTTCTTCAGTATTTTAAGTGTCTCTCTGACTCAGAAGTTTTTAATGGTGACTAAAGAATCCACCAGTCTTTCACACTATTAGGATCCTAATTTATATAATATCATTCACATGCATTCATGCACAGATGTTGTTTTCTTATTCTTAAATCATAGTTTAAATGATGTTTGTCTTACTCGGACAAATTACATTTGTATATTAAATAAACATTATTTACATACATTATGTTCATTAATTTGCATCTGGTTATTGTCTTTATGTACAGAGACTGAGGCTGAGGTCACCATTTAGCACCATGGCAACAAAGTTGACAATCTGCAATATTGGGTGAAGACTTATTTTAATGATCCAAAATTACAGGTTAACTCCTGCACACTAACTAAATTGCACATTATATTCTGTGCAATAAAGACTGTGAGCAGTTTGCAATTTTTTAATGGAGGCATCCTGTGCACCTCATCTTATCTTAGGAAACAATTTGACTTTGGTGGTTGGTACTTTTCGATACCAACAAAACATGTGGTAACAACCTTAAAACCCATGAAGGAAACAATTCACGAAGGTAACGCAGAGTTAATGTTGCAGAATTGATTTAAAGTTGTTCCTTAAGTTGTTCCTTAAGTTGTTCCTTAAGTTGTTCCTTAAGTTGTTACTTAAGTCTTTACATAAGTCGTTACTTAAGAGCAATGCTCTCCTAAAATGCCTTGTCTCTTTTTTATTGCACTTTATCCTGGGAATACCAGTTGCTGTATTTTGTGTCACTTCTAAATGTTTCGGTACATTTTCATTATTATTATTTCCATTTCTATTTATATTAAAAATGAATAATATTCAGAAAAGGTAAAGGGGTAATAATGGATTTGAAGTGTCTAAAAATGTAAATTCAAAAAAGACCAAGTTATTTCAATTTTTTTGTTGTATCTTTCATCACTAAAAGTATAATGATTTACAGTCGTTACTTAGATCCTTACTGAAGTCGTTACTTAAGTATTTAAGTAGTAGTCATTAGTAGTAGTTGAAAAGTTGCTTTAGTGTCCACTTGAGGTTGTCTGAATAATCCAAGTCAGTCCCATTAACATGTTAAAATGCTCAATTGTGCAGCAAAGATAATTCATTTGAATCAGGGACAGTGTACAAAATGTCTAAGAAGAGAAAAGATGCTTTTTACCAGTTTAAGCAAACTAGCTAATTTCCATCTGTTGTCCCTGGGAAGATGCTTTCAGTCCGTATTCAGTGTCATTTTTTGATCGGTACACAATGTACAGGGATGATAATTGACGCCAAAGAATAATTTATACATTAGAATAATTAGGGGAGTGGTTGATTTGATCGACAGGTGGGCCGTTGAAGCTGTTTGCCAGGAGGCTTAAGGCCAGCTTTAAATCCACCTCTTTGCCTGTTTCTAGATTGACTGAAAGTTAGGTGGAGAAAGCATATACAGAATGGCAACTGCCATTGTTCAGCTTCAAAACATTTCTTCAGAAACCAACGGCTGACATCACTGAGACTGCGTCCATGTTTCATACAGGCTGTGGTTTTAACATGAGTTTGCTCATGTGTTATTTCTCATAAAGTTGCGTTCCCTATACTAATTAAAGGCATTTGCTTAACACAAATAAACCATGGTGTCCCCACATTAACAACGTTGACACAGAATAACAATTTTAACTTAAATCACATGAGAGATCATCTGAACTACGACAACTCTATTTCCATGTGGGAGAGGACATGTATAAACTGAGCTTCGTAATTAAGTCTCAGATAATGAGGACATCTTGTTCAGCGGGTCTCCTGTGAGAAAAAAGTTGTTGAAAGTAAAGTCAAGTGGTTTAAAAAACAACTGGATGCAGAAGCTGGCAGTGACGGATGGAGAAGGGAAGAGATGTACGGATGTGTTTGTGACTCTCTATTTTTTGATGGGATTACATGGACGATCATGGGGCAGCGAGTGGTTTGACTAATGGATTTGTCTGTTTATCTTGGAATTGATTTGGTGGTCTCGACAGGGGCTTAATCATTTTTTCATTTGCACACATTTCAATTGTGGCAAGTAGAAATAAGTGCAGTGAGAGAAAACTCTGAGGACATTTACTTGTTATGTCTATTGCCTTTTTTTGTGGTTACTTGTGGTTACATCTGGTGATGACAGAGAGTTTCTTTTCTTAGACCTGTCTCTCTGAATTATGATTTCACAAATATAAAGTCTATAGTTTGTTAAAGAACAACTTGTTCACATTTAAAACGAGAATGCACTGAATGTGATTTCTGCTACTACTGCAACACCGCTAGTTTCTTTTACAAACTGACAACAAGTGACAGGTTGGAAATAACTAATCTTGAGCTTCATTCGTTACATGCTAACGACCCAGAATGATCCAAATCAGCAAGAGAATGAGAATCTACGGAGCAGTCCTCCAGTAATCATCTAGAGATATTTTCAGTAGTGCACGTGTGAAAACGGCTAAAGAAAGACTCCTAACCTCATTTTGAAAATAAGCATCTATCCAGCTTTGTAGTCTCAAGCTCTGCTCACTTCCCAGTATTCCCAGCACTCAGACCTCTCTTTGATTTGAAGAAAGATTTCCTCAAACTTCAATCTACTGATAGTGGAACAGATTATCAAGGGTGCCTTTTTTTAATGTCCCTTTCTCCTTTTGTGTCCTTTACAAGACAAACAAACACAGGATATCCTATCATATCGTATGTTATGGATCATACAGTCCCTTACCTAACTGTATATCTTTCTGTAGCGTAAATTCAAAAGTCGAATCATATCCCAAAAGATCACTGCATAAGATATTCCTAAGGTTTGATATCACACCCCTCGCACATCTTTATTTCCCATCATTTAATTGAATATTTTTGTCCCCACACACCTTTCTTAAATACACTTTTAATTTGTTCTTGTGTATTAATAAATACTTCAGAATTGTGTTTTTTTATATATGTCTTATTGTAAATGTATGAGGTTTTAATATGTCAGTGATTACAAGTAGAAACAGTAGACACATCCTACCTGCCGTGGTCTTTATTATGTCCGTAGTGTTTCTCAGGCCCATAAAATCAAACTGGTAGAGACGCCAGGACTTCTGGTCCGCCGCCTCCACGGAGTTCTTCCTCCACTTGTAAATCATCTCGTCTCGCGGGTATCCATCTGCAATTACACAGAGCATGTGTGTGTGACCCCGGGCGCTACATGGCACATCCTAATGATGGATATCGAGGTGCAGATAGACCTAAGGCCACCCAGAGCAACATTAGTCTTGTGCTGGAGGTTGTTTAATGAAAAGACGGTCTGGAGCGGAAGACAGAAGGCAGAGAGAAAGTGGATTAAATGAAAGCTTTGGTTCAATAATGCACTGAATCCGTCTTGATGTTGAGCCTGACCTTCACATGACGTGCACACAGCCTGGGAGTGTTTTTACTATCGATCATGGGAGGTTAATGATGGGTTAATGATTCCTGCTTGGCACCAGCCTGAGTCACTGCTGGTTTAAACAGGCACATAATCATTTCATGGAGGAAAACTAACTACTTCATGATCACGCCTGATAGCAATGTAATGTAACAGGCCGTCAATTTACACAAACATTAACAGGGAAGATGTTGCACAAGCTGCTAATTGTTTTCAAACATGCATGATGAATGAATTTCATTAACATTTACCACAGCTCTTCTCATTTCCTGCTAATGATGTCATTAAAGATTCAGCAACGGCTATTCAAATTCAGATCGTTCCGAAAATAAAATCGTATTGTTCTAACAGCTTGGCACACAAATAAAGCAGTAGAAACGTCAACGCTGAAAGGTTTTTATATCCTTGTGATGATATATCCTCGTGATTATAAATTAACAATATTGACTAGTACATTGTGTAGGGCATCAGCAAGACAAGTTTATTCATTTCAGCAACAGGGCAATTCAAAGTGCTTCACACGAAACACCAAAAGAATCAAGAAAAAGAGAAAAAATGACATGAAAAGTAATAATTCAAAAGTCACTAAAACAAACCATTAAACCCTCAGTGTCACACCAGGTTACGAGGCTGGAATAGATTTTAAACTGAAGTTTACACCAAAGCAGTTCCCCCTTAAATACCTTTGCTTTTACGTGGGGATGCCCAACACACTAAATAGCTTTTTTTAATCCAGATTCCTGGACAAGGTGCATGGAAGGTGGACACGATCAAATGGGGATTCATTGCATTTTTAACCACGTCTGAAATTCCATTATTTTGCAATTCAAAAAGTTAATTAGGCTTTTATATTTGTACTATCTTAAGCTAAAGGCCCTGACACACCAAGCAGACGACAAAGAACTAGTGGCGACAAAGGCCGCCTATGGCATCGCCTCACATCTTGGCCAAAAAGCTGCACTAGAACACACCGCAAAGACTACAGCCGACGCCCAACCACCACATAAATTCTGCATCGTATTATAGGTAGCTTACTTATCGAGAATAATGTCTGATGAAGAGTTGAAAATGGCGCTGGTGTTGTACGCCCTTAGTCTTAGCGGAAAAAGAAAAGAAGAGACAGAGGCCAACTAGGACTGACGGCCGACGCTCTCCTAAAGGGTAGTTTACTTCCTGTTTGGATACAAAGCTGGTTTTATTTTAGGGAGAAAATAAGAAACTTGTGGTAGACCTTGGTTACAATATTAACTTAACCACAGAGACAAGGAACTTGTTACGACTCGAAACAGTTAGAGGACAATAAATAAGTGAAATATTTGATGTCACGAGGTGTCTGAGAGATTTTATTTTTAAGTGAAATGAGACATTCAAAGGTCTCGTTTTTTTACATCACTGTGCTGACAGAGCTGCTGCTGTTTGTGTATTGGCTAAGCTACGGTGCGCCTAGAGGGAAAAAATAGCATGCAATCAACGCGATTCAAAACAATGAATGCTTTAATATCAGACCTTAACCGCATCGTGATTAAGTACTTTAAACTTAAAGTAACGATATCAAACAACACAGTTTTGTTCTCTCTGCAGAACCTTTGATAACAAGTACTGTAACAGAATATAGTTGGCTAATATTAGATTTAATATGTGTAAGAACAAACAATAATGTAAGGAAATGTGTAAATGTATAGTACATATGTATATGAATGATATGTGACCAGAGACAAAAGTGCATTAACCGCCTTCATAAGGAATGGCTACAGAGAGGCACTGTATTATTTTGGACAGGTCATTGTTGTGGACTGTGAATATGTTTCTATGTGTAAGCAGCTGTAAAAACAGCTCTAGTTTAGTAATTGTCTTCACAACCTGTTCTCTGCCCACCTGTCGTTTGTCTGTTCAACTCGGCTTCTTCTTTGCTTCCATTCAGATGATTAATCCCCCCCCCCGAGGCATGATGGCTAATACAGGCAAATCTGACTTAATCAGAAAACAGAGACGTCGTCATGGAAACCAGTGTACAGTCTGATGAGTCCCTTCAGTGAGGAAGCTGATCTAGGCAGGCTGTACGCTCTAATGTGCTGCACAAGGTTCAAGGTCTTAGCACCTTAATTCAGTCTGTGATGAGGATAACAGATCTGTGTGAGGTCCACCGCAGAGGAAACATCAACAGCATGCTTCCTTTTCAGCACACCTCCTCTAACTAAAATCCCTGAAATGTCACATTAACACACCAAACAGTCCTATTAAACATCATAATGTGCATTTTATGGTCGTGTTACGGTTGTGAAGAGAAGAAAATTTCACACTGTCGAGTAAACGTGTTAAGCTGTGAGTGAACTCAGTAGTGAAGTGATGCACGTTACACACTCTCTGAGCAGCAGATTTAAAGACAACTTGTTAAGCTCTACACTTGTTTACTTCTCTTTTCAATCATGAGGCAGTTTCCTGATGAGTTTTTGCACTCTCACATCCTTTAACGCACTGATGCTTAAGTTTCTGTAAGTTTTGCACCTCTGGACGAGCCTCAGCCGACTCACACTGTTCACATTTCGAGTTTTCATTAAAGCAGCTTGAATGTAGAAAACAACATGTTGTTTCCCTACGATACCCAACAGAGTCAGGAACCCATAAATTATTTATAATTGCAATTTAAACTGTGCGAAGCAGACATAATAGTACGTCATTATGTGCAATATATCAACTGTGCAATACTTTGACATTAATAATATTTTATTCAATTTATTTAGAGATCCTTCCGACTCTAAGCATTTAGGCTGCATTTTAAATAACAGTTAGCAATGATATGTTTGCATGTTCTGACAACGCTGTTATTTTCCTATACATGTTTCTGTTTTTATTGGAGCAATGGTTACGTTTAAAAGTATTTTTTTCACTCAAACTTCTGTATAATTTCTCGTCTTTTTTGTGCTCATATAGTCAATGTTTAAACCTGTATCAGAATCAGAACAACTGCAACATGAAGCAGTTTGTCCCCATGAATATGGACGTCTTTCTGATCATGAAACCCTAAGCTGTTATACATCTATACACTTTGTGACTTGGGTTAACAATTACATTTCAGTCGAGATCTTGAGAAATAACCGAAATTAACTCGTTTTCAACAGTTATCTCACGATTATGAGATAAATTAATTGAGATTTGCAAAAAACTATTAAAATGTACTCGTCTCTGGAAAATGAAGCAGAATGAAATGTATGGATGCATGTCCTCTTAGGGCTTCCGTACTTTGTTATTTATCAAAGCTCTTTTATAAATTTTGTTAACACTTGTATTTGAAGCCCTTCAAATATAATTTGCATTATTAGTAGCGTCATTGTTTATTCAGTGTATTCAGTGAATACAAAAATGAGCTTCTAATTGTGCCTGGAAATAACCCAGAGCCATGAACACAGGGGCTACTGGACACAAACATGAAGTAATATTTTTATTTTGCATCTTTTATTGTCATCTGATTGTTTCTTTTTCCAGCAGGAAAAGTAAAATAAGGTGTGTATAAGAATTGAACATAGAACAAGAATTTATTTAAACGTGCTTTTTGTGAAATCTTTGATGCAACCTTAAGACCACCTTGTTTGTGTTCAGTTGTTCTAAGAGACAGTCCAGGGATTAGTTGTTGTAGTAGTTGGTGAACTAAAATAGTTATACTCACTAAATATCAACCCCTTGATTCTCTTAAGCTCCTCCCACTTGTGGAAATTAAGATTAAGATTTACTTTTATTGATCCCTGCAATGGGAAATTTCAGTTTTATATTATAAGTCATGAACACACACATAGGCTGAAATATACACACACATGCAGAAACAGGATCCTATGGACATGCACTAATGGAGAGATGCCAGAGTGATGGAGCGGCCCACAGCTGCTCCTGAGCTGGTGGTGGGGAGGGGGTTTGGTGCCTTGCTCAAGGGCACCTCGGCAGTGCTCAGGAGGTGATCTGGCACCTCTCCAGCTACCAGACCAACTTCCATATTTGGTCTGCACCGGGACTTGGACCGGTGACCCTCCGGTTCCCTACAGACTGAGCTACTGCCGCCCAGAAATATGGTGACTCATGGCTCCTGTCACGACCCCTCTCACTTTCCTCCCACTCTGCCTGCATGTCTGCGTGCTTGCTTGTCTCTCAGTCCGGTCTTGCTCTTTCAGGTGTTTGGAGTCGGCATGTGGGTGGAGCTGGAGGGGTCATCAGCTGTTACCTGCTGAGTAACAGCTGACTGATTGAGACTCTCATTCTCTCTCAGCTGGGCCTGCTGCAACTACATCAGTTGTACTGCTTTCTGTGTGTGTGACCTCCCTCTTTGCTACCAGCCCTGAGCAAGTTAAACTCCAATCTACTTCTTTCACACAAGCAGCTGTACCCTGCAATGATAACAGTGACGGACGGCAACATCCATTAACTCGATCAGTGGGAACTTTTTTGTTTTGTTTAAGTTATGTTTGGGCCATTTTTGCCTTTTTTGGACAGGACAGCTGAGGGCCGGGATCAGATTTTAACCCAAGGTTGTGACGAGGACTAAAGCCTTGCTGCACGGGTCAAGCATTTCTACAATTCTGCAATTCATTTAGCGGATGCTTTAGTCAAAAGTGTTGTTCATCTGAGAGTTAGAAAACCCATCAGAGAATGACAAGAAACAACCGATCAGAAAGAGGTGCTGAAAGGCCGTGCACAGGGGAAAAGAGCAGGGTGTGAAGAGAGAGAAATAGACATTTTTTTTCTTAGTGCGAAAACATGAAACCAGCATTATCACCTGGAATATACTAAGATAAAGAGATATACAGTTAAACTTGAAAAAAAAAAAAAAAAAAGAAGCCCATTCCAATTTCAGGCAGCTCTCACTCAAAGGCCCTTGTGCATTTAGTGTTGACAGAGTTTGCGGATGAAATATAAAGATAATTTTGTATACAGTTAAAAATAACTAAAGGTCCGTCTCATATTGAAGTAAAAAATAAAAGCCTGGGTCATTTATTGAAGTTTTACAGTAAACACAAAGAAATGTTTCTTTCTCCCAGGAGCTTTTGTATTCATTGACATCGTGTATGTAAAGAGATGACTGCAGATAAATGCAGAGGACAGACGCAGCAGGATAGACCCTATAAATCATTATATTGAATATATACTCAGTACTCACAGCTGGAGAAGATGAGCGGACAGGAGTGTTCGTCCATCGGGAAGTTGTGCAGCTGCAGCTGGCATTCTGCATTTATTGTTAATCTGAAAGAAAAACCAACAACAACAATAAAATAAATCAGTTTGATATGTGTCATATTTGTTCTATAAGTAAAAGATTTCTGGTGCGACCACATCTCATGATCACAGGCTTTACAGCACACGTCTACATCTTTTAAACTGTCTTCCAGATGATTGTTACAACTATTACAAGAATATGTGCATCAGTAATGAAGGGCATTTAAATAAAAAAGAAATACCTTTCAGCCTCAAGTGGAGCAGCAATTTTTAAATCGAGGTACAATCAATGTATAATCAACATACAGTGAAGAGCATGAAGAACCTTAATCAGTCAGTGTGAGACATGTGAGTGTCTGTGCACACTGAAGCAACATGCTGCTCTCCACCTGAAGGCCAGGTGCAGAGGTTCAGGAACAATCTGAACTCTGCAGCTTGTTTTTCTATTAAGTGCTTCTTGAAATTCTCCTCATTTTGTAAGAAAACAAATGCTAAAAAAAGGAACTTTTACTTCTAAAAAAACCACACAAGTCTTTTAAAAGTCTCTTTAAAGTTCCTCACACTTAGACAGGAATATGATCATGAACGTACACCCAATAAATCTATTCTTAATACTCCATTGATCTTTGTGTTAAAAGTAAGAGGTACTTTTTTAAGGGTAAAGAAAAACTGTTGTGAAGAATAAGCCGTCACACAGTTTTATTTGGTTTTGAATGACCTAATGACAAGTGGCACCAATGGACAAAAAAACATGAGAAAAGTGTTTCATTGTGCCAAATATCAAAGAAGAAAGACGACTGTAACCATGGATTATCAACAACTGCTGGCTGTATGGTTTTATCTTTTGGAAAAAAGGGCTTCACTAATCACTTCACTTTGTGAAGGAGTACATTTCACAGCTTTGCCAGGAACTGATTCACACAATGCTTTTTCGTCAAAAACATTTTTTTTGAAAAGGACCTTAATTGCAACTATTTAAAACATTGATTACTCTTTTGAGGTTCAGTATGCAAATCAGTTGTGCATAAAATTACACAGCAGTTTAATGTTGTACACAAATAGAATAAAATCATTGTCTATCCAGCCATCAGTTTTGTGTGTGTGTTAAAAAAAGAACCTGTACTCAGTCCTGGCTTGTTTGCACAACATATAATGTTCTTGTGATGTAAGTTATACAGTTATATTTGTATCTTAGATTTACAACAGCTTGGTTTCAACAGTTTTTATTTGGCATATCCTGCTTATTGCAAACAGTTTTATAGCCATAATGTAATCAACATAATTCCCAAAAATAACAATACTTTTACAGAATCACATTTTACATGGTTATAAACTGAACATGTTTGGGTGATGAGACTGTTGGCTTATAAAAAAAATACATTTTCAAAAAGGAATTCTACATTCAAGCCCAAAATAATGTAACGACTGTTCATAGAAAAATAATGGTTTGTTGAAGACCAGGTAAACAAGTAACTAGAAATTAAAAATCGAATCACCCTGAGCTCATCCATGAATGGTACACAACCTCTTACACCACATATCGAGGTTACATTACATATTCAGAGGTGCAGCTTGTCAACAAGCAACATTATAAACTGCTTCGGGGCCAATGCCAGTATAAAAAAATGTGCAAAGTTTGCAATGCCAGTATGAAATCCTGGGGGGAGGGGAGCCCCGTCTAACAGCACTCACTGTTGTTGCACTAGCAAGCATCACATGCTTTATTACTGTATGAAAAACATTTGTTAATGAAAATTGCTGAAAGAAGATTAAGAGGAATAAGATAATATTCTATTGATAAGATAATAGAGATGCACTCTGGTGCACAGGGGACTTTTGTGTGTATCCACTCACAAAAGTCCCCTGTGAACTTTTGCTTAGGGCACCATTGATGGTTGGGATGAGTCCATGTGGATTGAGAGAAAGCGAGGGAAAGAGAAAAAGTCACACTGGGGTCGGGCTTTAATTCACTGAGAGCAACAGGCCCAGCAGCTCTGGATTGGACTGGCTCATTCCTCTGAGAACAAGGCAGACAGAACCAATTAGTTGAAGCCTGACTACAAAGGTAAGGCAGTGACCGTCACACTTTATAGCAGCCTCTGCCATCAGTGTATGAATATGGTGTCAATGGGTAAATGTGACATGTGGTGTGAGCATTTTTAGAGACTAGAGAAGTGCTTTATAAGTGCAGTCTATTTACCATTGCTACTGTTTATGGGGTTTTAAATTGCCACAGTTTTGGTCAGGTTTGGGGAACAAAACTTCTTCAATAAAAGATTGTGGTTTGAGTTTAATCTTGCACAAACATCAGTTAAGGTACAGGCTGTACATAAACATATATGTAATACACTTCAGTCACACAGAACTACAACTCCAGTCCATTTTGTGAATGTCCTGTCTTTTAAATATTGATTCATAGCCTTCAAACCACAAGCAGATTATTGCTTCATTATAGTCTTTAACCTGACTTTCAAAAGGATTTGTGTTTACACTCTGAAAATGACCTTAAAGGATGGATAGAGATAGAGAGATGGATAGATAGATACTTTATTGATCCCGAGGGAAATTCAAGACATTGGAAACATTCAAAACATTGTTGTCTGATTGTTAATTTTGATTTGTGACAAACCAAAAGTGAAGACAAAGTGCTTGGACCGCCCTTTACCGACTGGCTACAGTACAGGTCATAAGCCCCGCCTCCTCCAAGTTGCTTTAAACTGTTAAATATTTGTTTTGTTTAGCCGAGGGGCAGGACCTCAAAATTGCAGAAGAGGCTCCATATGACGTCACCAGAGCAATATGTCAGCGGTCGTCACAGGGGTATCCTGTCTCCACTTGTGTACAGTGAGAGGAGAAGACATGACGTCCATCTCAAAAAACAATGCCTGCTACCCTGATCGTTCTATGATGATTTTAAGCTCACTTTAATTATCATGTTTGGATTCAGTGTAAATGTGACTATTATACAGTTAAAGACAGACTGTCCCTTAAAGGTAGTCAGTATAGCATTGTTCGTAGCAGCTTGTAAACACAACATTCAAATTTGTTGTAATGGAAAAGCCGATAATTTATCACTCACTTGTCATTGGCTGTGGGAAACACGCCTGCCCCACACCCAGAAACCCAGAGTCAACCAAAACAAAGGAAAACATCAAAGTTCAGACAGAGGACAAGGTCACTGCAGACAGTCATCACCACACAAGTATGGAGACTCATCAGTGATGAATGAGCCACATTACTTTTTTATAAGTCTATTTATTGTGTGAAAAAGCAATTGGCTATCTTTCAGACAACATAGACCTGTGGAGGTAATTACGTACATGTAACTTTGAACCTCCAATTATAAACCAGAAAGCAAGTCATATTTCTTATCCAAGTGGGAAAAGAGGCTGCAGGAATCATTAAGACCAAAAAACAAGACTGATGCTTTAATGAATCAAGATTATGTCATACCATGGAAATATACTACACCTGCGAAAACAAGAAGACCACATTAAGAGGAGGTATGTTGAAAACACTTTTCTGGGGATAGGATTCAATGTTTTATCTTCTTGGATACAGATATTTGGAGATTAAGTCCATGAGAGAAAAGGAAGATTGAAAAGTGTAAAATTGTTGAAATGTTCATCGAGGGGCATGAAAAAGGAGAAGAAAGTGGAAAGAAAACTTTGTAATTTCATTCTGATATGATCTTTAAACCTCATTAAAGCATGGAAATGGGACAATACCATGCATGTGGGAGAGGCATGGATATCACAAAATGTCATCTCTGTTTACTGCAGCCAGGCCAGTGCACAATTAATACCCGATGACATTTCATTGTCTTTCTCTCATGCCATCAACGGATATTACTTCTCAAAGTTTGCACGCTCCTGAATACTGAACATTGCAGAAGAGTGTGTGGAAAAATCAAGCTTTGACTGTGGCCTTCTCATAGAAATGTTGACTAAAATAACAACATTAATCTCATAAATTGATGACTTTATTCTCGTTAATTTATGGGTTTAATCTTCAATTATTATTTTTTTCTTTAACGTGGCCCTAATCCTCATTCTCAATACATGAAATAAACTATTTGTCTTCTAGACTTGAAATCACAACAACCACAATCTACGCATTCGTCAGACAAAGAAACAACATTTTTACCTGTCTTTTGATTTAGCCTACCATTTAAAGATTCTCTGTACTCTCACAGTATCATAACATTACAAGAAAAATGGACCTGCTGCATCAACACAATCCAAATCCAGGGAAATAATTAATTATTATAACATCCATAAAGATCTTTGGATTCCTTCAGATTTGCACTCTGACCTTTCAATTGACACCCTTTTTGGAATGTTTAAGTTACAGCAAAATGTAACAAACTGAATTTCAAACGTCCCACATAAAAAAAAACACAAATCTCATTTTTATTTCACATAAAGACAACATAAATTTCACTTTAAAGGATGAATGTGTGACATTTTACACGTAAATGTAGCAGAAATCAAGTGTATCCTCTGAAAATAACTCTGAGTTATGACTATCTACAATGAGTGAGACACCCGAGTCCTGCTGGCTGTGATGTTTCCAGAGCCGTATCTACAGCGTGCTTACATAGACGGGACGGCCGGCTGACTCCTCCCCTCATGTATAAAAGTTGTTTAATTGAGGGACTAGAGAAAAGAAGAATAACATACTGTACTCACTGCTTAACTGTGTTTCTAGATCACGCTCATTTCAGGTAAATTTACATGCAGTGTGAAGATACGAGCATAATAAAGATCGCTAGCATTAGCATGCTAACACAACAATGCAGCACGAGTTGTTTTGGTTTCATGCTGGTGCTCAAGGGCAACATCTGCTGGATCAAAAAATCGCATAATTCTTACTTTTAGTTTATTTTTGAACAGTGTTTAAATGCACAAGTTGAACTCTATGTTTTCAACTCTTTATCAAAGATTGTAATGCAACATCCCTGTTTATTTTTATTCTGAAAAGAAACCTATTCCTGTTAGAATAGATGCTCTCTTGTGATTGGCTCT